TTAACTGGGCCTGTGCTTCTTGGGAGATGTGACCCTCTCCTGTACACATACAGTACATACACCCCTGATGCGGTATTTCTGGCAAAGTGCAATTGTCCTGGAGCAGCACTGTCCAACAGAAATATGATGTGAGCCATGTGTAGCTTATTTTCCAGTAGCCACATTAAAAGGGGCGGGGGGGGGGGGCACCTGGATGGCTCAGTCAGTTAGGCGTCCGAATTCGGCTCAGGTCATGATCTCACGGTTCATGAGATTCAGCACAGAGCCTGGAGCCTGATTTGGATTCTGTGTCTTCTTCTCTCTCTGCCCCTCCCCCACTTGAGCGCTCACTCTCTCTCTCTCAAAAATAAACATTAAAAAAAAAGTAAAAACAGGAAGTTAATGTAAATAATGTATTTTAATTAACCTAAAATGTGCAATACTACCATTTCAACATGTAATCGATATAAGGATTATTTGTGAGGCATTCTTTTTGTGCCAGTTCTCTGGCTTCTGGGTGTCTGGTGTACACTTAGACTTGCAGTGAGTCTCAGCCGCAAGCCCTGAGGGCCGTGGCTCCTGTACTGGACAGTGCAGCTCTGTGTAAGGCTCACAGCTTCTGCACACCACACTTCGTCTGACACATTCCAGAAGAACAGCTTTTTAAAAGCACACAGTTTCCCTAAACCTCAGCAGAGAACACTCAACTGAATTTTATTTCTCCTTGGTGACCACACCCTTACCATGACAAGCATTTGCCCTCTCTGTGCTCTTGGGGTCTTCTCTTTCCCCCTGTTCTACCTAGGAAAGCCAGGAATGAGTGAGCTTGTCAGTGACGGTCCCCTGGATCCACAGAACATCTGGATGCTGTGTCCACTGCAGCTTACCAGATCAAACTCCCAGGTGAGCCTCTAGCCCCTGGTCTGCAGCGGCTCCCACCCCAATTTCGTGGGAAACCTAAGGCCTGTAAGCCCTAACGGCCCCAACCCCCCATCACAATCCTAGGCTACCACAGTCCCCCGGTTGTTCACTCTGACAACTCTCCTCATTTTTTCTGCGTCAGACCCTGCCCAAGGTCTGTGTGGACAGATTCTGCAGCATGCGGCCTCAGAGCTCTTGGTCTCTGATGGCCTCTGCCTCTTGGCCACAGCACACTCCAGGCATGGCCCTTCCTGTGTCCCGCTCCACTCCAGTGCCTCCCCACTAAGCCCCTTTCCAGGCTGCCCTCTACCCTCACTGGGCATCTCTCCAGGGCCTCTCTGTCCTCATATCCTGGCCACCGCCTGCCCAACCCAGCAGACCCAAAGCCTAAGCACTTGAGAAGATCCTGTGGGCCCCAGCACTCCCTGCCACTCCTGTCCCCGTGCTTGGGGCTTCTTCCTCACCTTCCTCAGAGCCCCTCTATCCCAGTGCTCTGAGCACCAAAGCAAACCCACCCTACCTCTGGACTCTCCACCTTTCCCTTTCCCACCTCCCTTCTCCAAGCTCAGGCCTGCTCCCACCAATGACCTGAACCCTCATCTCAGGCTGGAGCCCTCGCCACTCCCCCTACCTCAAAGAGCTGCAGGGCAACAGGACTCTGAGCCTGTGTAACCCCTGCTGTTCCAGCAAGGCCAGCTACACTGGCTTCCTTTCGTCTCTGTCACCATCGGTTTATCTAGCCATCCCCTGAACTGGAAGTAGGGCCTGTCCATCTCACAGCCCCCGTGAGCCCTCAGCACTGAGAGCCAGCCTGGCACCCAGTCGCTGGGTGAGCGAGCGGCGGCAACCTCTTGAAAGAGGAGGATTCCATTCCCAGTTTCTCCCTTCCTCTGCCCGTTGATTCCTCAACTCAGCCTTCTAGTCTACCTGCCTCTACCCTGACCTGCCCCTTGGCCCTTCCCCATGCCCTCTGAGCTCCAGGTGGCACCTAGAACAGCGAGGTAGGTGATGTGGGAAGGGGCATGGAGAGCACAGCCAGGGCATCTGTGGGATCTCAGGCCCCCATACGCCCCTGGCTCTGGGCAATGCCTGGAAGGTGCCCTCAGCTCAGGAAACAGGCAGGAAAGGACAATCACAGCTTGCTCTCTAGGCTACCTGTCCAGGTGGGTGACGGCACCTAAGGGCCCAAGGTGTTTCTCACACCTACGGCTTCACTCTCTACAGCAAAGCAAAGGCTCTCCTGCCCCTTAGCCTGTTGCCCTCCTCTGGGGGTGAGGGCACCTCTACAGAGCACAAGTCTCACCTAGCAGAGCTGGCCTCTGGGGGGCAGGAGGCGTTGGTCCCGTTCCAGAAGTACTGCAAGTGGTCTCTAATAAACCAGGTCCTGAAATCATGTCCCTGGTCCCTAAGCTGTGTGACATGGCCCATAGGGTCCTACCCTGGCAGTTCATCTCGAAGCTGCTCTGACTTTCTGGGGGCCACAGAAGTTTCCACAGAAACAAGAAAGAGCACCAACCCCCAGAGATAAACCAATAAACGCAACCTGCAAAAGGAGAGAACAGGCAGCAAGAGAACCGGAGGGAACCGGGGGGCCCTGGAGAGAGAGGCGAGTACGTGGCAGCTGGGCCGTGGAGCAGAACCGGAGAGGCCGCAGGCCGCGGGGCCGAGGAAAAGGAGGGCCTTGCAGGGGGACTACAGCTCTTGGCAGAGAGAAAGGAGGCCTCTGGAGGTCAGAGAGAGACACAAAGAGAGCAGACAGCGTGGATCAGTAAGGAAGCCTGCGCTCCAGTGCCCGGGGCCTCTCAGGAAAGGAGGTGGGTACCCAGGGCCCTGGCACTCCCGCCCACAGGGGCCCAGCCTGCCCCCCACCCGAACATTGGCCCCTTCTCAGGATGTCGTGAGTGCCTGAATGCTTCCGGCCAAGCATTCAGGGTGTTTCTGAAATTGGGAGCAGATGCGACACCCCAGGAGCTCCACCGTGACACCCCTGTCACCGGCACCTGCTTATCCGTCAGTCATGACTCTCAGGAGTGAGGAAGCCCTTCAAACGTGAGCCCAGTGCTGTGCCCACTCAGGCCTCTGCACCCTGTGTCTAGGGCAGCCAGGGGCTGCCATGCTGACCCGTCCTGCAATCCGAGGAAGAAAGCTCAGCTGGCTAGACTCCTGGGCAGCACCGGGGCCCAGATGGGGTAGAGGCAAGGGGGTGGTAGTAAGGCCTCTGCCTGCCCCGCTCCCTGAACACTTTCCTGGAGGCTGTACACACCACGAGAACAGGAACCAAAGCCACCTTGTTCCCCTGTTTGTGGAATGAAAGCATTTCTACCCGAGGAGGCCGGCAGAATCCCATGAGGCCTAGGCTGCGTGGGCCACCCTGGACACCCACTTGGCGACTACCTGATCTGGACTTGCACGCATAGCAAAGGGTAGCAAAGAAACGGAAACTTGGGACTGGAAACCAAAAGGTGAGCCCTTGGATGGTCCCTGTGGGTCCTGGGAGAAGACCCACGGTAAGGCCGGGCCACTCAGGACCAAGCCCACCTTGTGTCTAACGCCACCTACTTTCCTCCTCTGCTACCCGCCTCCTGAGTCACAGGGGCAGGGAGCACCGGGCCCAGCTCTGACCTCGGGACTCGGGCACGCTCGATGTGGGTAGAGACACGGCCACAGGGTCCTGGGGTTCGCTCCCCAGCCTCTGTCCAGCACACATGGACTTGAGCATCTGGAAGACAGCGAGGGGCGCCACGTTCAGCTTCAGCAGGTCCACCAGGATCCTGGAGAGAACACAAAGCGGTGGGCAGTGAGCCCTCCTTGCCCAGGCCCAGGAAGGCCATTTCCTTCAAGACCCCAACTCTAATCTGGGCGCTCAAAGGTGTCCGAAAAGGGCGGTCTGGGGGTGGGAGCTCCTCCAGATCAGAGGCCCAGGCGGGGGAGCAGGAGAGCAGCGGTGTCTGGGGGTAGGACGAGCTCACACTCCCACCCGCGCGCGCTCACTTGAACACGTCGGGGTCTATAGCGCCGCCCGCCGCCTGCGCCAGCTCGTAAAGCTCCATCTCCTCGGCGCTCAGCACCTTCTTCCGCCGCAGCGCCAGCTTCTGCAGAGCTGCCTCCAGGCCCGGGGGCGCTCCTGGCCCGGGCCCTGCGCCCGGGGCCGCCATGTACCGGGCCTGCGGGAAGATGAGCGGCCCGCCCCGCCGCGCTCGCTCCTGTGACCCCGCCTCCGCCGGGCCTCTCTCGCCGCTCTCACAGCGCCTCCTACTGGCCCCGCCGGTTATTCCTCTCCCCGAAGCGCCACCACCTGGCCTCCCCCGCAGCCCCACCTCAGAGGGCGGAGACCGGTTTGTCTTCTCTCTGCCGTTGGATCCGCGGAAATTTACCTGAGGGATGATGAGGGATAAAAGCAGAAAAATGTTCATCTTTAGCCCAGAAAGCTGACTTATAGCCTGCATAGTTTTGATAAAGATCAAATAAGTACTGGTTGCTACATTCAGAGAGGGTCTCATGACTGCCTGTATCTCATCGATAGTTAATACCGAACTGAATGATAAGGACCAGAGAACTCTTGTGAAAGTAGTTTTAGTAGAAATTCCAAGAAGACACTTATGATCTAATACTCCCTGCACGTCCTCTCCCCCTTGAGTACTAAGCATATAATCACTAGCTTCATACCGCAAAAAAAAAAAAAAAAAAAAATGCAGCTCTTTGTGCCCACAAGTCCTGTATTGTGCTGCTTAAATGAACTAAGTTGCACGGATCATCTCAAGAATTCTTTCTTGAGGGTCGCACTCAATGATCCCACATCAGGGAGATGTGTTAGGCGTAGGGGATGTCGTGGCCGACCTCAGAGACCCGTTTCTGGGTCATCAGGGTCGGGCTGCACTGGTCGTTCTTGCTTGGGCAGCCGCACCCAGCGGAGTGCCTGGCATATTGAAGGCGCTCAACGAAGCCCATCGTAAGAAGTCGTCAATGCACAGTGTATTATTTCCCCGCGCCAGTTCCCCATTAGAGGGCGCGCCTCCAGAACCTTAATAAACGGTTTCTCTTTCGCAAGCGCACGCGCGCTCCTTACAGGGCACACGGAACTCAGGGCTGAGGGACGCAGCTTCCCCCTCTGCGCACGCGCCTCGGGGGTGTAACCCATAAACCCGGCCGGCCTTCACTTTGCGCACGCGCCCTTTGAGGTAGCTGCCCACAGGGGTAGCGGTGCGTTTCCCGCCAGGCTAGGGGAGGCGTGACGCCAAGCGCAGTTTGATGACGACATTTCAGCGCCGGATAGCCGAATGGCGGTCTCCGTTCCTTAGGCGGGCGACCTTATGGGTCCTACAGGTGAGTGGTTGGGGCCGCGTGCGGGACGCCCCCGCGTCCCGCCCCCCGCCCCCCCGAGCCTCCGCCTAAGTCATTTCCGTTCCTACCGGAGCCCCAGGCCTCAGGCCGGGTGTCTGTGTCTCTGACCCCCGGCCGGGCGGGCAGGCTGGGGAGCCAAGGGCCCGGCTGCGCGCTCATGCCATCTTCCCGGACTGCGCTCTCATGCCACCTTCTCGCACGCCTCGCACACTCCGTCCTGGTGGGTGCTCGGTTAACGTTCGTTGACGAGCCGGCGGAAGGAGATATTCGAGTTAAAGTTGACCCTTGGGCTCAACAAGCTGTGTGGGAGGAAGAGCCGGGTGTGGATTCTCGCCTGAGTCTTCCTGTGTGGAGCGACCTTTCTGAGCCTCAGTTTCTTCTGTAATATGGAGATACCGATGCTCACTTCACAGGAGAGTTCTGAGCAACAACTGGGCGCATACTCTGCTTATCAGGGCGCAACCAGAGGGAGGCCTTGGCAGTAGTGCGATTTGCTTGGAATGATGGGCGTTGCCACTGTGAGGAGACACCCCAGCAAGTTCCGAAGCAGCCATTGAAGAAAGTGGGTGTAAAGTGGCGGATGAAGGGAACACTTGGCACACAGCGGACAAGGATGTGATGGAGGGGCCTGGCTGTGGCAGGATTAGAGAACAGGACACACGAGACACTGCCCCTTCTTGGAAATACTCCTCGTTTTGGCGCTTCTGGGCCCCCGTTCTTCAGTTGTTGCCTGTGCAGGCTTCCTCTAAGAAGGAGGTGCTACCACCTCATCATCTAGAAGCTCTGTCCTTTGCAAATAGGCCACATTTTATACTGGTTTGATTATTTGGCTTTGGTCAGCTTACTTAGTGTGTTTTCTTGGCCACTTGGTTCAGGAGCAACGTGTTTTAAGTTTTCCTTAAAACTGAATTTGATAGGGGTGCCTGGGTGGCTCGGTTGGGCTTGATTGAGTGACCACTCTCGATCTCAGCTCCGATCATGATCTTGCAGTTCACAGGTTCGAATGCAGAGGCTGCTTGGGATTCTCCCTCGAAATAAACATTAAAACACACACACACACACACACCTGAATTTGATAGCTAATATCGTTAAGAATTGAAAACCTGGGAGATGTTCATATTGCTAAGAAGCAGAAATGCACATCTCCCCTCAACTCCACTGCCTCCTGGCATCAAGTCTTTCTCCATCCACATACACTTTTGTTTGCCACCTCAGCACCCTTGCTCTTGCTGTGGGTGCAGCTGTGCCAGGAAAGCCATCATCCATGGGACACGGCAGGCTCCCTTTCTGTTCAAGTCTGGATATTTTCAGTTTCTGACCTGGGTGGTCAGAGAGAGAGAAATCTAAAAAGAGTTGATCCTGATTTTCTGATGGCTCGTTCGAAAGCTTCTTCAGCGTGCTCTTCCCCTCCATTCGTTCTCATAGAGCACAGGTGACATTCAGGAGATTCGCCCTCCTGTCTCTGTGGGAATTGTGTTAGGAGGTCTGTATATTAGAGTCTTGGCTCTGCCATTTACCAGCTGAGTGAGGGCAGGTGAGTTACCTCCTTTTTACTACCACTTCTTTCTCTGTATTGGCCCCGCAAGATTGTTGTGAGGATGTAGTCTGTTCTTGCTTAACAAATGTAGCAGCTTAAAACCGCATCCATATATTATCTCATAATTCTATAGCCAAGTCCAGGAGGGCTTGGCTGGGTTCTCAGGCTTAGGATATCACCAGACTGAAATCAAGGTGTTGGTTGGCTTTGCTGTTACCTAGAGGCTCTCAGGAAAAATGTTTCCAAGCTTCTTCAAGTTGCTGGCAGAATCCACTTCCTTTGGGCTGTAGAACTAAGGTTCCCATTTCCTTACTGGCTGGCAGTCGAAACTGCTCTATCGTATGGTCTGCCCTCTTGAGACTTCAATCATATCTGCACAATTCCTTCACAGTACCTATGAGCATTTGATCGAATACCCAGGAATAGGAATCTTGAAGGGCTATTTTTAAAATTCTGCCCACCACTGAGTATTAAACGAGGACATACACGGAGGGTCTTTAGAACCAGGCGTGGCACATAGCAAGTGCTGTTACAAGCGTTACTATGGATTCCTCACTACAAACTTGGCTCCAAAGCTGGCCACCATGGACTGCATCAGAACAGCGTTTTTGTAAACCGTGAAACCTGGCAGCACAGCCTGTGCTGTAGTATAGTGTTGTGTGGCAGATGTTGAGATTTTGCCTTGGTTTTTTCACAGTGGTTTCCTAAGACAGCCATTTTCAACTTCCCCCAGGAGACTGCCATGGCGTTCCCTCACCTGCAGCAGCCCAGCTTCCTCCTGGTAAGTGTCAGTTGCCCGTGTGAGTGTCAGTGTAATGATGGTTCTACAGCTGAGGGACTTGAGAGTCCTAGCCACTGACTTGAACTTCCCACTGGTGGTTTTCTGAGGGGCATATGAGGAAAAGAACATTGGACTTGGGATTAGAGTCCCTAGACTTGGCTCTGCCTCCTAATGGTGCAAGACCTTGGGTTTACTCAACCTTTGAGCCCTGTTTTTCTCGTCTACAAGAGGAGCTTCTTACCTACAAAATAAACGGATTCAAATGCCATTTTCACTACTTCCTGAGGTCTGGGGAGGAACATGTGAAAGGGTATACATCAGCATTTTCATATCCTGTAAACCTTTAGACATTTATTGGATATTCTAATAATCATAACTGTCATCCCTGGAAAATGGAGGGACAGGGACCCTGCTATGCTGGGGGCAACCAGGACTGCACTCCAAGTATTAAACATGACACTGAGAAGTTAGGTGTGAGGCAGATATCTGTGGTGAGGATTCCTAATTTCAGCTCCCAGAAGATAACTTTTTGTAAACGTCTATTCAGAAGGACCTCCTTCCTTGGTGCACCATGTAGAGCCAGCGGATGCTGTGCTACTGGCATCGAGTGGGTAGAGACCAGGCATGCTGCTAACCTTCCCACCGGGCATGGCCGCAGCAGCCCAGGTCTCTACCTCTGTGAGACACCATCCTCATTTAGAGGTGGCTAAGGCCTTAGATATCCTTGGGCAAAGCCCTCTTGGTTCAAATTCTGGCATTCTCTCCCGATCTTAATCCACACCCCATGACCTTGGGTAGATTTCCTTCATTCTTGTCCTGAATGTTTCCCAGCCTGTCCATTGCCTTCCTGATTAGTGTCAACATTTGGTTAAAGCGATCTGTCCTTTCTCGCCTGCCTGCCTGCCTTGTTTCTTAATAATGAATTTAGTTGGTTCGTTATCTACGGAATAAAGAGTAGCTTGGTTAAGAGGGCTTCTGTCACCCTCATTTTGCTGGCATCCTCACTGATGATCACAGTGGTGTCATCACAGGGCGTTATATGGAAATTTCCAGTTTGTGCGTATACGCTCAGTGAATACCCTGTGGTCTGTGAGGGATGCCCTACACTTAAGGGTCCTCTTCTGGTTGCAGGGCTGACGCTGGAGCTGACCCTCTACTTAATGGATTGTGTGGAAGTCACTTCAGTCATGCAGATGTGCAGTCTCTTTTGTGATGTTTCTTTTGGTTTCTTCTTTCTTCTAGGCTAGCCTGAAAGCTGACTCTATAAATAGGCCCTTTGCACAGCGGTGCCAAGACTTGGTTAAAGTCATCGAAGATTTTCCAGCAAAGGTACAGCTCTGCTACCATCTCTTTGGGGCATGTCTCATACACTCTTTGAAATACATTCTTTTTTTTTCTTTATTTCTTTTTTATTTTAAGTTTATTTATTTTGAGAGAAAGAGACTGAAAGAGAGAATCTCAAGCAGACCCTGTGCTGTGAAGGTAGAGCCCTGCGTGGGGCTTGATCCCATGAACCATGAGATCATGACCTGAGTGGAAATCAAGAGCTGGATGCTTAGCCGACTGAGCCACCAGGCGCCCCTGAAAAACATTCGTATAGCCCCTGATTCCCACCTCTGAGCACTGCCCTGGATGGAGGCCTGACCCAGTATTGTTTCTGTAGCATTTATGGACTCATTTAAACATGTCAACATGTAGTCCAGGGGTTCTCAGCCACAGGTGCTTCTGTCCTGCATGGAATACTTGGCAGTGTCCGGAGATGTTTTTGGTTGTCACACAGGGGAGGGTGCCACTGGCATCAAGTGGGTAGAGGCCAGGTATGCTGGTAACTATCCCCAAATGCACAGGACAATCCCCACCCCAACGAGGAAATGTCCAGCTCAAAAAGATTGAGAAACGCTGATGAAAATACTGAAAAGCCATATTTAAGTCACACCCAGAATTATCAAATAGTTAAGTATAAGCCCAGGCAGCCAGCCTGGACTGATGATCACAGGGTAGGCACCACGGGTCATCAGTTACTGTAATTTCCAGTTCAGGTGTACACACTCCGTGAACAAGGTGGGCAGGTTGTGGCATGGGGCTGGACTGGGTGGGAGGGTCACGTGGCCTGGAGCCCGGCTGTGGGCACTGGTCCTCAGCAAGCTTGCCCACAGCCTCCCAACGCACACCATTTCAGGAGCTGCACGCCATCTTCCCGTGGCTGGTAGAGAGCATTTTCGGCAGCCTGGATGGTGTCCTCGTTGGCTGGAACCTCCGCTGCTTACAGGGGCGGGTGAGCCCTGTGGAGTACAGCATCGCAATGGAGTTTCTAGACCCCGGGTAGGTAGGTTTATCACCTGGGAGGGGCCGGATGTTTCCTCGTGGTGATCCCACTCTTAAAGCACTGTATTTCTTAAAACGCAGAAGCAATCAAAGCAAGATGGTTTGTAGTTCATTGTCTTGTTTTTGTTGGTTTAATTTCATGTTCAGTGGCCCAATGATGAAGTTGGTGTATAAACTCCAGGCCGAAGATTATAAGTTTGACTTTCCGGTTTCCTACCTGCCTGTAAGTAAGCCATGGGGTGAGAGCTGTGCTCGGGCAGAGCTCCCTGCACAGCGGCTGTGGCTGCAGCGGGGGTAGGCAGGGCTTGAGGGGCTGGGCACAATGCCATGCTGTCTGTTCAGGGCCCAGGGGGCATCACACATAGAACTTCAGTGGTTACTTTTCTTAAAGGTCATTCCAAACTCTACCCGTGGAGAAGGCACCATACTCCTGGTTTGTTCCTGGCTGAATGGCGGCAGGGCCATGTGACCAGTTGCTCTTTTTCTGAGTCTCCAGTCAAAGGGGCAAATTAAGGGGTGACTTGTTCAGTGGGTATAAGAAGCAAAGAAGATGGAGAACATCAAGTGCTTGACGAGGTTCAGAAATTCAAGCAGCTGCTGCCCTTGCTGTTCGCGGGTGTTCCTGAGGATGGTGTGAGCAATTCTGAGCAGAGGCTCTCTTGCTCCGGTACTACCCAGTGGACAGCACTGCTCCTCCAGGCAGGGTCCGAGTGCCTGCCGTCTCCACTGCACCCCTCCCAGAGGCTGCACTGCACAGGGCACCCTGCCAGAGCCTGTCCACAAGCCCAGTGCGCTCTCTCCACAGGGCCCCGTGAAGGCATCCATCCAGGAGCGCGTGCTCCCTGACAGCCCTCTGTACCACAACAAGGTCCAGTTCCCCCCGACAGGGGGCCTCGGCCTGAACCTGGCACTAAGTATCCTTTGTCAGCCCCCCAGGGGTGGGGAGGCCATGGGTGGCCAAAACACAATGCTGGGGGTGGCATGACATCCCTGCCCGTTTGCCCCTTGACGCTGCCATCAGATCCGTTTGAATACTACATGTTCTTCTTTGCTTTGAGCCTCATCACTCAAAAGGTACAAAAGGGATTCCCCTGAGCGGCTTTTTACCAAAGACTCCGTGAGGGTGGGGCCTGTGGCCTAGGACTTTTCTTTATCTTCCATGTTTCCTTTCCCTCCTCGTTCTCCAGCTCCTCCTTTGCATCCTCCTCCAGCCTTTGCCCTTCAGGCCATTCTCACTTAGTGAGGATGACAGGCTGGTGGGCAGACTTGACAGGCAATGTGAGGTGACCTGGACACTTCCAGTGGTAGCTGGAAAGGCTTCCCACCGGAAGTTTACTGGGCGTGGGCCCAGGGCAGAGGTGCCCAGGAAGTTTGCTGCACGCCATCTTCCCATGTGGCAAAAAGGACTGTGGGGTCTAGTCAGGCCCCCTGTGGTGGGAACTTTGCTCCTGGCACTGCCCAGGGTGCTTGTGGTCAGGCCCCTGGGAGATGAGCCATGTCCCAGGGCTTGTGTGCAGTGACTTGAGCCCTGCAGTTGCTGGGGTCAGCAGCCAGGGGTGGCACCCAGAGCTACACACCAATGCAGATTTGCTTTTCCAGCCACTCCCTGGGACCATACATATCCGAACTTCAGACTGTGCCTATTTCATCCTCGTGGACAGATACCTGTCGTGGTTCCTGCCCACAGAAGGCAGTGTGCTCCCCCCGCTCTCCTCCAGTCCTGGGGGGCCCAGCCCCTCACCCGCTCCCAGGTAAGGCTCTCTGGCTGCCCTGGCTCTTGGCCTCAGGTGGCCCATTCCTGCAGCTAGCCTTTAAGACCTTGTTCTTCCACGAGGGAGTGGCCTGGTCAATGGGCATTGCTCATAGGGACAGTAGTGCTACTCTTTGTTCACGGTGCCCCAACTTTTTTAATACCCGAGATCCCCAACTCCAGACGCCCTAGCACAGACTGGAGGGCAGGGGTAAGGAGGACGTCTCTGTCTGGGTTTTCAGTGATGAGGTCCTGTGACCACAAGGACAAGATCTGGCCTTGGTTTGGGAGCGAGCTGTGTTCTGCCCGCAGCAGCCCTCCCCACACGTGTATCCAAGCCCTACACCAAAGCGGTGGCAGGAGGCTCAAAGCTGTGTTTCCAGAGCTGATCAATGGCACTGGGCAGTTGGTGCTGGAGAGAAAGAGCCTGTGGGCAGGCCACAGCAGGGCTGACATGCGGAGGAATGAGAACAGGAAGAATCTGTAGGCTGCAGCACCACGTCTTGGCCTGAGCCAGAGGCCCTGGGGCAAAGGGCCTTTTATGCCAGTCCAAGGCTGGGGTGTGGCTGGACCTTGCAGGAAGGGAGAATGTATAGCCAGCCTCAACCTGAGGGTGAACTGAGGCCTTCGGAGGTATTTAGCCAGTGGCCTCCCCAGGAGGAGGCTCCCCAGGAGACGATCCGGACTTGGGAGCTGCCACCTGTGCTCCTCACCCTCCTCAGTGTTGCTGCTGCACCTTCTCTGGGAGGCAGGCTCAGGCCTACCCTTGTCTGCTGGCATGTGCCATGCCGTGACCCGGAACTCACATATGTGCACAGGTACCCCCAAGGAAGGGGGATTGAAAGGAGGAGATGGGGGCATGGAAGTGGGGAGAGGCTGCCCAGGCATCGGTAATGCTGCGGCTCAGAAGGACCAGGGCTGGTCACATTCACACCCTCTCGGAGCCGGTTTCAGCTGCCGAGTTGTTCTCTGGGCCTGATTTTGTTGGCTTGTTTTAACAGAATTTCAGACTTCTAGAAAACTTGCCATGATAAACTATTTGTAAAAATAAAATAAAATAAAATCCAAAAAAGAAAACTTGCCATGAATAACAAAAAACTTTCATAGGTCCTTCATCTACATTTCTGAATCATTTCATTCTTTATTTGTATATGTTTTTTCTGGGCCATTTGAGTAAGTTATAAATACAATGCTTGTTATTGCTAAATGTCTTGGAGTATATTTCCTCGAAGCCAGCACATTCTCCTACGCAGCCTCCTGCACTTTTATCCAAATCAGGGAATTAGTATTGCTACCAGGCTGCCATCTAATCCTCAGACCCCATTCAGGCTGCACTGTCTACCCCACTAATGTCTGCTACCTGGCTGGGATCCAGTGGAGGGTCACTCTCTGCATGCGGTTGCCTCTGGTCCCCCTACAGCCTGGAACACTCCCTCAGTCTTCCCCCTTTCCTGACCTCAACATCTTTGAATCGTGCGGCCTGGAGGTGTGCAAAATGCCATATCTCTGGTGTTCCCGAGTAATTAGGCCCGGCGGCCGGCCTATGGAGTCTGTGTGCTTGCAACATTGTCTTGATCACTAGGCCAGGGGGTGTTGTCCAGGTTTTCCTACCATAAAATTAAGTGGCTCCTTTGTGCCTAAATTAATTAACAAGAGGGATATGTTGGGAAGATCTACTAAGACTGTGTAATTATCAGTGGTGTTTGTGTCCCTTGACGATCGTCAGCCAAATCAGTTATTAATTGGATGGTTCCCGGATGATAGTTGTCTGCTTTTATCCCTTATAGTTATCAATGGGCATTCCGTGGTAGGAAAGACTTTTCTTCCCTGTCCAGTGATTGTGTGTATCCATATGGATTTGGGAGGTCCTCCTAGGATTCAGCAGGTGGTAATGGTTACTGTTGCCAGCGATGTTGCTGTTTAGTTGCCCCTGGTTGTACCAGCAGGAGCCCCTAACGAAGGCCTTTTTCTGTGTCTCCCTCAGGACACCAGCCATGCCCTTTGCTTCCTATGGCCTCCACCACACCAGCCTCCTGAAGCGACACATCTCTCATCAGACGTCTGTGAACGCAGACCCTGCCTCCCATGAGATCTGGAGGTCAGAAACTCTGCTCCAGGTGAGGGCGAGGAGGCTCTCCTCATCTTCTGTTTCAAAGTAAACTGCCTGCCCACCTTCCAGCCCCCGGGGCCCTAAAACTGTCCTCATCCTGAGAGTGGTTCTGAATTGTTAGTGTTTTCCTGCTGTGGGATGTAGGAACAGAGACTAGAAGAAATGTGCCTATCTGTCTAACCTCTATGTCATCGGTAGTGCTTCTCATCCCAGGGTCCCCTGTCTGTAGCGTTTTGTCTTTCTCATGGTAATGTGAGCACTGCTCCATTTCCAATGGATCCGTGTAAAAGCTTTCCCCACCTTTGACATCTCCAACCTATTCCTATGTTGCTGGAGATGTTTCTTGTGATCACCATCATTTGGATATTAAACCCCTGCCCCAATAGCGTTTTTGTTGTTTGGTTTTGTTTGTTTATTTTATGTTCGAGAGAGAGCACATGAGCACAAGCAGGGCAAAGGGACAGAGAGGGAGAGAGAGTCTTAAGCAGGCCCCATTCTCAGCACAGAGGCTGACGTGGGGCTCGATCTCATGTTTCGTGAGATCATGACCTGAGCCAAAATCAGGAGTCCAGCGCTTACCTGACTGAGCCACACAGGCACCACAAGACTCAATAATGTTCTGTCATTTGGATATTCCCCTTTCTGTGTTTCTGTTCATCTCTGGGTGGCCACTTGGGTTGTTTGCACGTTGTAGCTATTGTGAATATTGTTTCTACGTGGATATACAAGTATCTCTTAGAGACTCTGATTTCAATTCTTTTGGTTATATACCTGAAGGGGAATTTCTGGGTCATACAGTAATTCTATTTAATACTTTAAGGATCCACTGTACTGTTTTCGACAGCGGCTGCACCATTTTACATTCCCATCAGCAGTGGATGACCTTGCCAGTGTCCGTTATTTTCTGTTTTTAGTATAGCCATCCTAATGGATGTGAGGTGGTGTCTCCCTATGGTTTTGATTTACACCTCCTTCATGGTTGATGAGTTGAGCATCTGTTCATCTATGGTGAAATGTATATTCAAGTCTTTCGCCTATTTTTGAATTGAGTAGCTTTATTTTTTTGTGATTGAGTTTTAGGAGTTGTCTTTATCTTCTGGATATCCACCCTTTATCATATACACGATTTGTAAATACTTTCCCCCATCCTGTGGGTGGCCTTTTTCACTCTGTGGATAGTGTCTTCTGATATACAGAATTTTTTAAAATGTTCATGAAGTCCGTTTTGTCTGTTTTATTTTGTTGCATATGCTTTTAGAGTCCTAGCTAAGAAGTCATGGCCCAATCCAATGTCCTAAAGCTTTTTGCCCACAGTTTCTTCTAAGAGTTTTAAGTTTTAGGTCTTACATGTATGTCTTTCATCCATTCTGAGTTATTTATTGTACATGGTGTGAGGTAACTTTATTCTTTGGCATGTAGATACGCAGTTTTCCCAGCACTGTTTGTTGAAAAAAACTACTCCTTGAATCATCGTGATACCTTAGTTGGAAATCATTTGACCATCTAATGCTCTCTTGCAGGTTTTTGTTGAAATGTGGCTTCATCATTATTCCTTGGAGATGTACCAAAAAATGCAGTCCCCTCATGCCAAGGTACGTTGCCATGCTTTTTCATCCCATCTGCTCTGGCCCTGGTGTGGCTGGTCCACCTGCTGCTTCTTGTCCTTGATCTCAGCTTGTTGTCAAGGGCTGAATGGTGGGAAGCAGAAACTCCCCATCAGCCCTTGCTCTGCTGCTGGACAGCAGGTGGGTTTCATTCTGTGGTGGGCTTGCACCCTAAGGGCTGGAGGTCTGTCCTCTCTGGGGTCTTCCCCATGCTACTTTCAGAGCCCCCTCCCTGGCAGCCGGAATGAATGAGGTTGTGGTGCTCGTGCTCTGGGGTCAGGAGAGCCACGGGTGCCTCTGGGGGTCACATCTGGGTCTGTTCCCTCTGCTATCACAGCGCTTCCTGCTTTCCTGCTCAGGTGGCACTCAGCCAACTTGCTCACCTTGGTGCCCACGCTGCCCTCCACCTCCTCCAGAGCATCAGCAGGCAGCCATTTCGGCAGTGGGTGGGGTCTAACACTCTCCTGCATGTGGCCTGGCCTGCCTTCTCCTCTTCTTCCCTTCCCTCCCCTCACAGGGCAGCATGCTCATTTGCAGAGGCGTGGAGGCAGCTGTGTCCCTGGAACCTTCCCAGGGCTGGCAGCCCACTGGATTCATCAGGGTACAGCAGCTCTCCTCGCCTCTTATTAGGCAGGGTGGGCACCTAGGTTCGCACTCCATGAAACAGCCTGAAACACGCGAACCGGAGCCTGTAACCAACTGTGTGATCCGTGGCTTCTGTGCACTTCTGTGCTTGCTCTTCAGACTTTGCTTTTGTCAGTGCCAGACAGATTTCTTGAGAGATTCCTTAAGAAACTAAGACTCTATAGGCTAAAATTCACGAGGGTTGCCTGTGACCTTCCCTCTGTGATTCCAGCAAGTGGCAGTTCTTCTGCAGCAAAGTGTCCGCCACGAGCCCTGCTTCCGTGCTGCGCTGCCAAGTACCCATTTGGAGAGCAGCCCCCAACAGCAGCTCTCTTATGCAGAGGGCCCCAAATCTCGGTCCTTGTCACCACATGGAACAGGGAAAGCCAGGACTGTGTCTTGGGTGTCTTGTGTTACTAAGTGCCTGCACTGCCATTGCTGCTTCTACAGCGGACTGGCTGCATGTTCCTGGCTGCGGCACGGGGTTCAGGGGCCAGGATTCCCCCTAGGGCCTGGGGACTCACTCAGCCCCTGTGCATGTGGCTTTTGCAGAGGCAGAGACTGCTTTGCTGCATTGCCTTCCTGTCTGTTCTGTTTTCTGAGCCAGTGGGAGCACATTCACTGTCATTAGCAGATCTGCCAGCCACAGAGGTCCTCTAGGCTATCTGTCCTGTGAGGATGCCGAGCCCTGTACGAGGGAGGAGTAGTGGGCCGTCCCTGCCGGGGCAGGGGGGCCTTCCCCTTCTTCCTCACATTTTCTTCCTCTTGGCCAGACCATAGGGCAGGGGATTGCTGCTCAGAATGACTGGTAGTTTGGGGAGTGACTGGGAAGCCCCCACTAGGCACCCAGAGAGGTTTTTTGTTTTGGTTTGGTTTTTTCCTCCTATTTTTCTTTGTCTCCTATTGAGGCTGAAAACAAAACCTAAGAAAACCTGGTGTGTGGGAAGTGGAGAAAAACGGCCATGGAGGTCTGCTTCATCTGAGGCTCCTTACCATTTACCCAGGCCTGTGCTGTGCCATGTGGAAATCCTAGCCTTGGGGTCACTGGTTTCCTGATGTTTAAGATGCAGGAAATGCAGCTCCGAGAGGTCCCATGGTGCTTCGGTGCCTAGCCTGGGTCCAGGGTATATGCTCGCTCCCTAGAGCCCGGATCTCTGCTCCAACCCAGCTTGCTGAGTGGGGCTTCAGAGAGCCAGATGGTCAGTAAAGATCGCATATTCCTCCAGGACGCTGTGGGGCCTGCCCTGTGTTCCTGCAGGCTGGGGAGGCCCCCAACAGGAGAACCATGTGCTCCCTGGGTCCTCACTGAGAGCTGTCGCTGAACCCAGGTCTGGCCCAGAGGAAGGCCACGAAGGGCAGACACCTCCTTGCTGTGCTGCTTCCTGCCCCTGCTCTGAGTGTCTGTGGCTGTGCCTGTCTCCTCAAGGTCTGGCACATGCATTCTGACCTCTCCCGTGTGAAGCATGGTACGCGGTGGGAGGCATGGCCCTCACAGGGCAGGATGTATGCCAGGGCCGGCTCGGGGTTGTGCTTGGCTAAAGGGGACTGCTTTAGCAGGCCTTGTCGCTGCAGGGGGGCAGGACAGAGGTGGGGTGGGGGTGGACAGCTAAGCCAGCTCAGCTGTCATCCCCCATGGCCCAGGCTGTCCCAGCCTCAGGGTTCCAGCTGCCTCTGGGTGTATGTGGCCATGGCCAGATTCTTGGGGCCGGTTGGGCCTGATGGAGGGCTCTGTGTGTCTGCAGTTGGGGAGTCCTGGTGAGGAAGGAGGGGTGGGTCTCCCAGAATTCAAACGCATGAGTGTTTGTGCCACCTTTAACAATTTCTGGAATGTGGGGTATGGAGGGTGTGAGGCCTGGTGAGCTAAACCTTGCTTGCCTCTCTGCCACCCTGGGAATCAGCCCCATTCTCAAGGGGTCACTGACTGGATCTTTGACACCTAGGAACTGATCACATCATATATCTACATGATAAATTTCTCCTTGGGACAATTCATAGAAGTCCAATAAATTACGTATTTTTCTTTCCTGAACAGAGAGGTCTCCATCTGGAACTAGGTCCTTTTTTTTTTTTTTTTTTTTTAATTTTTAATGTTTTATTTATTTCTGAGAGAGTGACAGAGAGACAGCATGAACAGGGGAGGGTTGGAGAGAGAGGGAGGCACAGAATCTGAAACACGCTCCAGGCTCCAGGCTCCGAGCTGGCTGTCAGCACAGAGCCCGACGCTCGAACCCACAAACCGTGAGATCATGACCTGAGCCGATGTCAGATGCTTAACTGACTGAGCCACCCAGGCATCCCTGGAATTAGGTCCTTAAAAGATTCTTTTCTGAGCCTTGGAGACTTCAGGGCCTTGGTGGCCGTCAGTGTGTCTCAGCAGGGTTCCTGGGATCCTGGTGGGCTCCAGCGTGCACACGCTGCACACAGAGCATTCAGGGTTGGGGGAGAGCAGGACTCTTTGGAAGGAAAGTGAGTCAGGCTGATCTCAGGAAGCTCGAGAGACCCTCAGGCCCCAGAGACATGGAGGAGGCTGCCCAAGTGACTTGGGGGTCTGTCCCTCTGCCTGGCAGGTGGATGAGCACCCTGGGGCCTAGCTCTGGTCAGCCCACCAGGAAGGGCTCGGTCTGGGTGGCTGAGAGGGTGGTGTCCCATTGGCCTGAGGCTGCTGGGCTGTGATTGTTTGGATTGTCACTGACTGTGCTTTTGTTTTTGTTTTTGTTTTTTGTTTTCTCTCCTTACTTCTGGGCTCACTTTTGTCTTTCTCTCCCTGCTGTTCCCTCCCCGGTCTCTCCCCTCCTGTCCCCTGCCCTGTCCTCTGCCCTCCCTGCCTCCTCTTGGCTTCTCTGTTTTGTTGTCTCTCAGCTGGAGGTTCTGCACTACCGACTCAGTGTCTCCAGCGCCCTCCACAGCCCTGCCCAACCCAGCCTCCAGGCCCTCCACGCCTACCAAGTACTGGCCGCTCTCGTATTGTTTTGTTTCACCCCTGCCCTGTGGTGTGAGCCATGGAGCCCATGGCAGTGCAGTGGTAAAGCGAGGGTCCGGCCGGGGGCCAACTGGGGTGATTCAGACCAGTTCCAAACAGAGTGAGGCCAGTGTGTGTTGGGGATGGTGGCAAGCATCAATCTTTAACCTGCCATAGCCCTCAGTTTGGCAGACTAGCCTGGGTTTGCGGTGTGGGGCCACCAGATCTGTCTGACCAAGTCCCAAGCCAGGTGGAGTGTTGCAGGCTCTTGAGAGTTGGTGACTTCTGTGCTTGGCCCTTGTTGGAGGGAGCGGAAACAGTGCGGCCTTTGCAAGGGCCTGACTCACCTGGCTTTGCAGACCTGGTGCTCAGGAGCTGACTGAGCCCAGGGAAGCCCCAAGGCTCATGGTGGTGTGGTTCTGTCAATCCCAAGCCTATGGGAGGTCAAGGGGCAGGGAGGACAAGGGCTTGGCCCCCCAGCCTATAGAGGATGTTGGTCCTTGAGCACTCTGGGGCCTGGCCTCTTGTGGACTTGTGTGCTACCACAGAGGCAGGCGAGAGCCAGACAGAGCTTCATGGATACCGGTCTGCTTTAGGCAGACATGACGGATGTGGACGGATTTGAAGTCTTGAGGTCAGTAGGTGGAGTTTGGGACTTCAGGCTGTTTCAGGGCTGATGGAGTTTGGTAGTTCACAGATTTATGAGATGAATGTCAGGAAGTTTGGGTAGAAAGCACATATCTAGATCTGTACTCTGAGACCAGGGGACTGTCCACTTCCCCCTCAGTGGGAACACGTAACATTTGGCCTGATATTTGAGCACAAGATAAGAAATCATGTTTGCTGGAATGGGGTGGTGAGCACACATAGGGTTCCCACTCAGAAGCAGCAGCCACAGGGAAGAGAATGATCCAGAAGGGTTGGCAGGGGTGGGTTGAGCACAGAAGTGGGTACCACCCCAGCCTGTGGGGAAGGGGTCACTTGGCTAAGAGCAGGGTCCCTGGAGAAATGTGCGCAGCAGGAGGGATAAGAGCCCCACCCCTGCCCACAAGGGGAGGGGTTGCTGAGCTGAGAAAGGCTGGGCCCAGTGAGAAGTGTCACTGGTTTTGGGAAAGTGTCCCTAAAAGGCATGCAGGTGGAGGAGGCCACATGCAGCGGTGGCCAGACTCCTGTGGGGATTTGGCTCTCCAGGGTGGGGGGTCAGAAGAAAGGTTTGGTTTCTGTCCAGAGGGCAGATAGGGGCTTCCAGTTGATCAGAAGGGCCTGTGTGGTGGGTAGGGCTGTTCTGGTTCAATGCAGATGCTCTGTCCTCCGCTGGGGAGATAGTGGCTGGGTTGCCGAGGGGCCAGGAATGAGAAGGGGAGGCTGCTGGTGGGGAGTTACAGCCTGGCAACAATACCCTCTGATTTTCCATTCTTATGAAAACATCTTAAATCTTTTTTCTTCAAATGATGCAAGTTCATCGCTTAAACATGCAGATAAGCAGAAGAGAATCTCCTCCTGAAGGCGCGTAGCTTCTTCGGCAGTCATATTGAGTCGTGGTGTGTTGCCCAGGCCTGTGGAGGCAGAGCCATGGCGAGGAGAGCGGAGAAGGCAGTGCCGTGGGCAGTGGCGGGCCCGTGGCTGGGTGCCCGGGCTGTGCCAGGAGGCATGGCTTATGCCAGCCTCAACATTGCTCAGCTTTTGGACTAGGCTGTCAAAAACTCTGTCAAGGTTATGGAGGCCCCAGAGGCCTGGGGGTTGAGGAGGGTGTCTGGGCACCCCAGGGCTGGGAGCTGGAAGCAGTGGGTCCTGCCCGTGCCGTCTTCTACTACTCAGGAGACCCCATCCTGTATTCCGTCATGGGAGAGCCAGCAGACAGGCTTTCCTCTCAGGCCCGGGTCTTAAAGATCCTACATGGACCTTGTGAGTCAGGATTTCACCTGGCAAGATTGAAAGTGCTCTTGTCTTGTGCTGACCACAGGGCCATTAGCAGTAGAGGCAGGGCCACCCCACGCCAAGCTCCCGGCTGGCAGTGTCCAGGACAGGAAGCGGATGGAAGGGCGAGGGTTGCAGCAGGAGAAGGAATTTGGGAGTGTTTCTATCTGAAAAGGGAAGCCACGGGGCCTAGTGAGCTGCTTCCACGCACCTGGGAGGCAGGCAAGAGACCCTGAGTCTGGATCCAGGGTGAGATGCTGGCCTGCTTCCACCGCTGTTCCTCCTCTGGCTGGCCAGGAGTTGTGGGGGGGACCCCTGAGGACTTGGCCGGGCAGCGATGACCCGAGTCCACCACGGAGGGTGCCACACGGGGAAGCACTCAGGTCCGTTAGCAAAGCCATCCTGCTCCGCCGGGTGTGCTCTTGGCAGGTCTCAGAGTTGGCGTACGAGGCCTACCTGCACATGCCAGGCCCAGGGAGAGCCCTGTGGGTGGCCCACATACTGTCGGGGAGAAGTGGCCCTGGGCGGGACATGGCCAGAGCTGGGGTTCCGCACCCCAGACCAGTCTGGGTCCTGATACTGCTCCCCCTCAACCTCAGGAGTCGTTCACGCCCACCGAGGAGCACGTGCTGGTGGTGCGCCTGCTGCTAAAGCATCTGCACGCCTTTTCCAACAGCCTGAAGCCTGAGCAGGTCTCCCCCTCTGCCCACTCTCACGCCACCAGCCCCCTGGAAGAGTTCAAACGGTGGGTACAGGGCGTGCACAGGGCTCCTGTGTCCCTGGCTGCCACCGCCTTCTCCTGCACATACTCGTTGCCAACAGTAACCTATCCTTCGGGTGTGGGGGACAGCCTGTGAGGCCTCTGCAGGGTGGGGGGCAGGTGGGAAATCACCTTGACCCCTCCTGAGTCTGTCTCTCTACCACTGCTCTGGCTCCACAGGTGGGTGGGGCTGCCTGGCTGCACAGCCTTTCCTTCCAGGCCTGGCCTCTTCAGTAGAAAGAGCCAGGCTGGCCAGAAAGAGGCCCCGTCTTGTTGCCCTGTCTTGTCCCCTCATCCCCAGCGGTGGGCAGAGTGGGAGCTCTATGTTGAGCTCCCTCCTCAGAATGCCCGGGAAAGCCGATGGGCTGGGACCGCTTTCCCTGCAGAGTGGCTCATTTGTTACAGGAGACCAAGCTCTGTGGTGCACCCTCCCCCTCTTCTTCCTCTCTGCTCCTCCCCTCCTTCTGTCAAAAGGGCTGGGATGGTGGCCTGACTCCTAGGCTAAGTGGGGCAAGCAGAGGCAGTCCCAGGAGCCACAGTAGATCAGCCACATGGGTGCTGTGTGTCCTTGGGACATTCTCTAATCTCTGAACTTTTGTTTCTCCATCTGAAAAATGGAGCCCAGAATAGGAGGCCTTACCTTCGGGGGGGCTCATTGTTCATTCCAGCAGAGCTGGCCCTTGGAAATGGGAGCCACTTGGCTCACCCATGAGGGGACCCTCCCCTTCCCTCCCCTCCCCTGCAGGGCCGCCGTTCCAAGGTTTGTCCAGCAGAAACTCTACCTCTTCCTGCAGCACTGCTTTGGCCACTGGCCCCTGGATGCATCCTTCAGAGCCGTGAGTGTCAGCCCCATCTTGCTTTCTTAGCCTTTGCCCTCTGCCTGATGAGGGAGGTCCCATGGGGTAGATGCAGGAAGGAATCAGCTGTTATCACAGAGGCCTGGTGGGTCACATTGTTCTGCTCATTTGAGTTTTCAGAGCCATCCCCCAGGTACAGAAAAGCTGCCCTGACCTGGAACCCAGTGGGTCCACGCTGCCAGCCCCACCGAGCTGCACAGGCTCCCTCAGCTGTGCGGAAAGCACTCCTGTGTTCCACGTATTCCAGCATTCCACTTCCAGCATTCCACGCTTGCTAAGGGTTAGCATGTCATAGGGGCTGAAACGAATGTAACTCTGTGTGTCAGCTATATGCAAATAAAAATTGTTTTAACTAAAGATAAAAAGAAACATTGTTGGGGGTCCGGAGTTTCCTCCTGCTCCCTCTCAGGTGGCGAGTGGGAGGAGAACCTGGGAGCACCTTCAGGAGAACCGAAGCCCTGCAGTTAGGGTCACCCCCTGCTCACCTGAGCTGGCTGCCAGGAGCCAAGCCCCAGCCACCCAGGGATTTGGCCCAGAGCCCCAGCCCAGCAGAGTGCCAGCCTCCAGGCTCTCAGGGCACGTGTGTCCCACCAGGTCCTGGAGATGTGGCTGAGCTACCTGCAGCCCTGGAGGTATGCACCTGAGAAGCAGGCTCAGAGCAGCGACTGCCAGGCCCGTTGTGTGTCAGAGAGATGGTGAGCCCCGGCCCGCTGTCCTCCCCAGGGGGGCCTGCTTCCAGCGCAGGACACAGGCTGCTCCCTCCTTGACTGTGCTTTGTTGCCTGGGCCCTGGGGTTGATCTCCCGCAGAAACGGCTGGTGACTCCTCTGTGCCGTCCCCTTGCTGTTACTGTCTCCCTCAGATGTGTGTTTGCACACGCCCCTGACCCTTCTTTACTAGCGTTCTGCTTCTCAGCCGCCGCCGCCTCCCCTTCCCCTCCTCACAGCCAACCCTCCGGCCTCCGCCAGCGCCTCCTCTCCACAGCTGTCTTCCCCGTGTTCCCTCTGGTGCCCGGGCCAGCTTGTGCCGCGGAGGCCTCGGTCCTCTCGGGAAGGGCCTCGTCTGTGGAGGATTGTGTCGTCTGTAGGAGGCCTAGGTCTTCCCTGCCTTCCTTGTGCCTCCTCCGCCTCCCCCACCCCTGGCCCCTCAGCCACTATGAGGTCGTGGCGGGGGAGAGTCTGGAACCCAAGGAAGAGTGCCAGTGAAGTGGGGGCACGGACTGGTGTAGCCCTGCCTCCAGGGGGAGGTCTGGCCCCTGATGCACCGCCCCCTCCCCAGGGCGCCCTTCGTGCAGGAGAACCTGCTGATGTACACCAAGCTCTTCGTGGGCTTCCTCAGCCGCGCGCTCCGCACCGACCTGGTCAGCCCCAAAAACGCGCTCATGGTATTCCGTGTGGCCAAAGTCTTTGCCCAGCCCAACCTGGCCGAAATGATCCAGAAAGGTGAGCCCTTAGCCAGAGGGAAGCAGCACTTAGAGAGGGGCCCATAGACCCTACGTGTGACTCATGGGCTTGTGATGGGCTGGCAGAGGTGGCGTGGGGACTCCTGGTGCCTGGTAGCAGCCTGACGGCACCCTGCCTTCCCTGTGGCATAGTGTGCTGGGCGGGGGCTGCGGGGGTGCTGGGCGGGGGCTGCGGGGGTGCTGGGTGGGGGCTGCAGGCGTGCTGGGCAGGGGAAGCAGCGCTCAGAGCTGTATCCCTGGTGACTCTTGGTGGCATCAAAAAGCAGTCTTGGGGGGCGCCTGGGTGGCTTAGTCGCTTAAGCGTCCGACTTTCGCTTAGGTCATGATCTCGCTGTTCGTGGGCTCGAGCCCTGCGTCGGGCTCTGTGCTGACTGCCAGCTCGGAGCCTAGAGCCTATTTCAGAGTCTGTATCTCCCTCTCTCTCTGACCCTCCCCTGCTCACGCTGTCTCTCTCTCTCTCTCTCTCCTAGAAATAAATAAAAATATTAAAAAAAAAAAAAAAGCAGTCTTGGTTCCTGTCGTGGCTTAGATGGCTTTGTCGGGCATTAGCTTCTCTGGTTTTCTTTTGTGAATGTCGGCCTTCCTGTTGAGACTGGTGGGGTCTCCGGGAGCAGTAGGAGCCGGGCCCCTGTGCCCGTCGGAAGCATCGGTGGCACCAGGAACACTGCCAGTGGCTACTGGGTGTTCAGTGCCATGGCTGCTGACGCCCGAGTTGGGTCCTACTTTCCAGGGGAGCAGCTGTTCCTGGAGCCAGAACTCGTCATCCCTCACCGCCAGCACCGCCTCTTCACGGCGCCCACCTTCACGGGCAGCTTCCTGTCCTCGTGGCCCCCGGCCATCACCGATGCTTCCTTCAAGGTGAAGAGCCACGTCTACAGCCTGGAGGGCCAGGACTGCAAGTACACGCCGATGTTTGGGCCCGAGGTCCGGACACTGGTGAGTTGGGGCTCCCGCAGGCCACACAGCTGTCCTGGAGCCGTGGGAACAGCGGGGACGGGAGAGCATGCACGGTGTATGGAAGGAGGAGGGTTGGGTGTTGGGAGGCGCTGCTGTACCCCAGCCTTTCTTTTTTTCTTCAGTGAGGTTTACTTTTTTTCTGATGATAAAGGCAATACTTACTAGAAAGTTTTCACATTTAGAATATGCGCGTCTTAGTCTTGAAAGACCCCCTCCTCCTCCTGGGGGGTTGGGGACCCCCAGGTCCGCCTGCCAGTCTGTTGGAGGCTGGGAGGCATGAGGTGGCACCCGAGCTGGCTGACCTGCCCACGTTGCCCACAGGTCTTGCGCCTGGCTCAGCTCATCACACAGGCCAAGCAGACTGCCAAGTCCATCTCTGACCAGTGCGGGGAGAGCACGGCCGGCCGCCCCTTTCTGTCGTGGCTGGGCTTCTGCTCCACAGACACGAACGGCTCCTACCCAGCCAACGACCTGGACGAGATGGGGCAGGACAGTGTCCGCAAGACAGACGAGTACCTGGAGAAGGCCCTTGAGTACCTGTGCCAGATGTTCCGAGTACGGCCGTGGGAGCTGTCCCCTCCCTGGCGTTCAGCACCGTGGCTCTCACCCCCTGCCCAGCCTGTGGGAGATAGAGCCCATGCCTGCGATGTCATGCCTGGGTCCCCTTGCTGTCACCGTTAGAGTCCCGGGGGGAAGCCCAGTGTCCCTCCTTCACCCTGAAATGAAGGCAGGTAGCGGGAAGCTGCGTGGCCTTCTCATGGGGCTTCCTCCTTCGCAGCTCAGTGAGGCTCAGCTCGCCCAGCTCACACTTGCCTTGGGGACAACTCAAGATGAGAACGGGAAGAAGCAGCTCCCAGACTGCGTGGTGGGGGAGGATGGGCTCATCCTCACGCCCCTGGGCCGGTACCAGGTAAGGGCCACACCCCGGAGGGCTCTGCTCCCCCTGCCATGCCCGGCAGCCCAGGCAGCAGAGACCACGCCCCCGAGGCATCACAGAGGTGTGTTTGCAGGGCTGCCCGCAAGCCCAGCTTTCACCCGGGGCTCGCCTCCTTTGCTGCTCCTAGATCATCAACGGGCTGCGAAGGTTTGACATTGAGTACCAGGGTGACTCGGAGCTGCAGCCCATCCGGAGCTATGAGATCGCCAGCCTGGTCCGCATGCTCTTCCGGCTGTCCTCGGCCATTAACCGCAGGGTGAGTGCATGAAGGAGGGCCGCCCCCGCTTCAGGTCCCGCCACCCTCAGGGAGAGGCCGGGGGATCGTGCGCCCTGCCCGTGCCCACTCCACGTGCTTCTGTCTGTGCCCAGTTTGCAGGCCGGATGACAGCCCTGTGTTCCCGCGCCGACTTCCTCGGCAGCTTTTGTCGCTACCACCTCACCGAGCCTGTGCTGGCAGACAGGCGCCTGCTGAGCCCTGTGGCCCGAGGGTGTGCGGCCCGCCGTCCCCGTGGCCCTAGGCTCAGCCTGCGCTTCCTGGGCAGCTACCGGACGCTGCTCTCGCTGCTTCTGGCCTTCTTTATGGCTTCCCTGTTCTGCATCGGGCCCCTGCCCTGCGCCCTGCTCCTCGTGCTGGGCTACCTCCTCTACGCCGTGGCCATGACGCTGCTCACTGAGCACAGCAAGCTGCACCAGCTCTGACCTCGGCCAGGCGCTGACTCTGGGAAGCCAGCAAGATGGCCACACAGCCTCTCCCTTGAGCATGAGAGGCCACCTCCAAGCTAGGGGGCAACTTTCCTGCGGCCATGGAGCCATGTCATGCGTGGGAGGAGATAAAACCGGAAGGGTGTGGTCCAGGCTTGACAAGGAAGGGAGTGGCATCAACAGGCCTATAAGTATCACGGGCCACTGCCGGACCCAGCCGCCGCTCAGCCCTCCCTGCTTCCCTCAGCCTCGAGCCCTGCAGTGAAATGGCCTTCCAGGCCTTTCTCCAGCCTGACTGTCCTGGGTTTGGCTGTGTGAGGTCTGGAAGTCAGTGCTGCCTAGGAGGCAAGGTGGCAAGGTGGCATGCGTCTCCTGTCCCCACCAACAACAGGACAGCACCTCAGCCTCTGGTTCCAGAGAAGAATCCAAAACTATAGAGGTTCCTGAGAAAGTTAGAGGATAGTTCTCTTGATTCTTGATTGTAAAGCTAGATTTTGCCATCACATTTGGCAAAGCGAGGGCCATTCTTCACGTGTTGCCAGCAATTCTGGGGCTGGGCCTGCAGTTCCACTTGTAGGAGCAAAGATCTTCCAGGAGCACAGATGCCCAGTGGGACAGCGCTTCACCTCTGACTCCCTTCTGCCCCCCAAGCCGTTCAGCACATTCTTGGTGGCAGCCCAGCGCCACTGCCTCATCTGGGACAGGCTCACTCATGTGTCCCATGGGCGGAGGGGATGTCTGGCATTGTCTGGTGCTGCACCCAAAGATGGTCAAAGGCATTGTTTGTATCTTCAATAAAATCAAGTGTAAAGACACTACCTTTTTGATGACATTTGAATGTTCAAACTACACGACAGTTACACGTTCTCTGCCGGAAATCATCCCCACAGGCTCTCAAGCACATCTTACAGGGGACGCACCAGAGATAACATCTCAATGGCGATTTTATTATTTTTTAATTTTTTTTAATTTTTATTTATTTCTAGGAGAGAGAGAGAGAGACAGCATGAGCAGGGGAGGGTCAGAGAGAGGGAGTCACAGACTGAAACAGGCTCCAGGCTCTGAGCTGGCAGTCAGCACAGAGCCTGACGCGGGGCTCGAACCCACGAACCGCGAGATCATGACCTAAGCGAAAGTCGGACGCTTAACCGACTAAGCCACCCAGGCGCCCCTCAATGGCGATTTTAAACCAAGCCTTTGTTTTGGATTTTGTTTTGTTTTTTTAAGGTTCCAAACTGTAAATGTTGACCTTTGTATTTTGATGTAAACTCAGAATAATGGCATTCTGGAGCCTGTGACCAAAAATCAAAACCAAGTTTGTAACTGACCACGGATCTGAATAAAGCTCTTTTGCTCCGGAGTCTTCTGGTGCCGGGGCTCAGCCTCCAGTGCAGTCACCTGCCCAGGTCCCCAAACAGTTGAGGATGACAGAGACCACTGAGGACACAACTGTCCCCCCCCCCCCCCCCCAGGGAACAGTGGGTCTGTTTATGGCAACAACAGACCAAGGCAGCCGTAAACCCTTAAGTGGCCATGATGGGAGAGGGCAGGCCCCCGAGAGCTCTGGGGACCAGGCCCAGAGTTGGCCTCAGCCAGATGCGCCCTGAACTGTATCTAAGCCGGAGGAGTTTTTTTTAAGGTTTTATTTATTAGAGAGGGTGGAGAGGAACAGAGAGAATCCCAAACAGGCTCTATACTGTCAGCACCGAGCCTGATGTAGGCTCAGACCCACAAACCACGAGATCATGACCTGAGCCAAAATCAAGAGTCAGTCACTTAACTGAGCCAGCCAGGGGCCCCTATGCTGGGAGAATTTTGCCTTCTACTCAGCATGTCAGAGTTGGCTTTGATACAAAAAGCTGGCAACCCCAGAATGTGAGTTGAATTTTCTGTGGCTCCCAGAAGCTCAGAAGGTCATATGTGCAGCTGGGAACCAAACCATGCACCTTCCAGCCCCATGTGAGCATCTCAGGTGCTTGGCCAGGTGTGTTAATGTCCCCCTGTCCCTGGGCAGGTTGGTTACTTTTGCCTCCCACACCTCTGAGACTTGCCAGTCCCTCAGGCAACACTGCTCCCAGGAGCCTTTGCTGGCCCCGCTGTCATCCAAGAATCAAGTCCATCAGACCCCAAGGCTTCAGCTGGTCCCACTGCTGATCCCAGGTGGCTGAGGCTTTGATTGCTTAGTATAGGTGACGTAGGACAGAGACTGGAATTGGAAGGAATCCGTACTTCCCCTCTTATGTCAAAGAGTAGATCAGACCCTCTGCACGAGCAGCCCTCAGCAATAACCCTGACATTTGCTAATAGAGATGTGACTTGGGTAGCTTTCACTTTAAAAACTTAGCTTTTTTTTTTTTTTTTTGACTCTGCAAACCCGAATTCCTGGCATAACTTCTCAAACATCTAGTGACCGAAATAGATCAGATTCTTTCCCAACCTCTCCTCTCCCCATCAAGAATTCCCACTCCCTCTCAACTGATATTCTAGCTATGAGAACAGCCAATGACTTTAACATCCATGTGAGTCACTGCTGCCTCACAAGGTCAGAAAAATGCAAAGAAACCAGAGAAGGGAGCAAATGCCTTTCTAGCCATAGAGTAAGGCTGGCCCTTGGGGGCCCCGAGCGCTTACTGCATGAGGCAGCAGGGGAAGGTGAAGTTGTCAACCAGACAACTACTTTCACTGTCCCTTTTGGGTCTTCTTACCATTATACATCTGCAGCCACCTCCCTTTGCCTGCCTCTAGTTGTGTTCACCTTCCGGAGAGCAGCCACTTCAGGGAGAATCGGACCTATAAGACTCAGCACCCAGCACCCCCACCATTTGAGTGCGAACATGGCACTTGCCGCCGTGTACTCAAAGCACATATTCCTTGTGATGCTCAGGTGAAAAGCTGCCCAAACCATCTGGAGAATGGTGGACTTCCCACAAAGGATGTTTGCAGCTTCTGTTCTACAGAACACGATCCGGGAGGCTCTGAGTTTATGCGCCTGACATCTTATTGTTTAAGGGTCTGTGTTCAAGGCAATGCAGTAATGTGGGTGAAGCGAGCCTTCTGCCTGGGATGGCTCCAGACGGCCCGGAAGTTACTTCCTCCACCCTCCCTTTCTGGATGGAAGGAGCACTGTTTTCCCCACTCACAGCCTGGTGCTCACTGCGGAAGTGTACATTCTGCTCCTCAGGCAGCATCTCTGAAGGTCGGCTTGGCCTCCATCCTTCCTTGGCCAGCTGACTCCCACCCATCCTAGAAGACCAGCCGTCATCACTTCCCTTAGGAGACCTTGCCTCCTCCACTTCCCCTCCTCCTGGACTGGATTTAGTGCCCTCCTGGGCACTCATTGCCACCATTCAGCAAATAAAAGTCAAGAGGGATGTCTTACCACTTGCTTGATGCTGGGCAGTCCGTTGGTGGAACACATGACTTATTTTTGTATTTTTGAGAGAGAGAAAGAGAGAGCACGAGCACGGGAGGGGCAGAGAGAGAGGGAGACAGAATCTGACGCAGGCTCCAGGCTCTGAGGTGTCAGCACAGAACCCAAAGTGGCGCTCGCACTCACAAACTGAGATCATGACCTGAGCCGAAGTCCGATGTTTAACCGACTGAGCCACCCAGGTGCCCTGAGCATGTGACTCTTAATCTGAGGGTCCTGAGTTCAAGCCCCACGTTGGGTGTGGAGCCTACTTAAACAAACAAACAAACAAACAAAACTGAATAAATAAATATTTCTAAATGAATCTCCAAGCTCGTGTTTGCTCCTTGAGGACAAGTATCATATTTTACTCACCTTTCTAGCCCCGGCACCATGCAAGCACATAGCAGGTGCCCAGTAAATGCATTTGTTTGACAAATACTGTACCTATTATATACACATCCAGCCCCTAACACTTCAGGTATCACAATATGAATGCCTTGGATAAGTTAATTTGTACATGAGTAGAAAGGATTGAGGTTGGGGAAGAGGCTTTTCAGTCTAAGGTGGAACAAAAATCACTGGGGGAAAACGATCACTGCACTGGAAGGTTCCTGTCCAAAAACTTAGATCGTAGACCCAGATAGAGGAGCTAAACATAAAACTGTCAGGAAAGCAGCACCTGGGTGGCTCAGTCGGTTAAGCACCAATCGGACTTTGGCTCAGGTCATGATCTCTCAGTTCATGAGTTTGAGCCCCACTTTGTGTGAGCCCCACTTCTCTCTCTCTCTTTCTCTGCTCTTCGTGGGATTCTCTCTCCCTCTCTCTTTCCCCTCACTCACTTGCACCCTCGCTCCTTAAAAAGAAAAAAAACTGTTAGGATAAAACAGGAATATCTTTATAATCTTGCATGAGTTAATAGTGTTTTAGGTATGATACTCAAAGTACAAATGGCAAAAGGAAAAAAAAGGCAAAGGGGATTTACTCATATTGTAGTGTATTTCAGTGCTTTGTTCCTTTTTATGGACAAATAGTATTCCATTTCATAGATATACTGCATTTTATCCATTCATCACTTGGTAGACAGTTGGGTTATTTTTAGCTTGGGGCTATTGTGAGTAATCCTGCCATGAGCATTTGTGTATCCATTTTTATGTGGACCTATGTTTTCAAAATTAAAAAAGTTTGTACTTAAAAATGATACTTTCAAAAATGAAAAGACATGGGGCGCCTGGGTGGCTCAGTCGGTTAAGCGTCCAACTTCGGCTCAGGTCATGATCTCACGGTTCGTGGGTTCGAGCCCCGCACCGGGTTCTGTGCTGACAGCCAGCTCAGAGCCTGGAGCCTGTTTCAGATTCTGTATCTCCCTCTCTCTCTGACCCTCCCCTGCTCATGCTGTCTCTCTCTCAGAAATAAATAAAACATTAAAAAAAAATAAAAAGACAATCCACAGAATGGGAGAAAATATTTCCAGGCACATATGTGAAAAAGTGCTTATATTTAGAATACACAAAGAGTTCTTACAATTCAATAATAAAAAGGTAAATAATCCTAATTAACAATGGGTGAAGGCCAGGGGCACTTTGGTGGCTCAGTTGGTTTAAGCATCCAACTCTTGCTCAGGTCATGATCTCACAGTTCGTGAGTTTGAACCCCTGCATCAGGCTGTCTGCTATCAGCACAGAGCCTGCTGGGGATTCTCTGTTCCCCTTTTTATGCCCCTCCCCCTCTTAAAAATAAACATTTTTTAAAATAAAAATGGGGGGCCTGTGGGTGGCTCAGTCGGTGGGGTGTCTGACTTCGGCTCAGGTCACGATCTCACAGTTTGTGGCTTCAAGCCCTGCGTCGGGCTCTGTGCTGACAGCTAGCTCAGAGCCTGGAGCCTGCTTCAGATTCTGTACCTCCCTCTCTCTCTGACCCTCCCCTGCTCACACTATGTCTCTCTCTCTCTCTCTCTCTCTCAGAAATAAATAAAACATGGGGCGCCTGGGTGGCTTAGTCGGTTGGGCGTCCGACTTTCGCTTAGGTCACGATCTCGCGGTTCGTGGGTTCGGGCCCCGCGTCGGGCTCTGTGCTGACTGCCAGCTCAGAGCCTGGAGCCTGTTTCAGTCTGTGACTCCCTCTCTCTCTTACCCTCCCCTGCTCACGCTGTCTCTCTCTCTCCTAGAAAAAAAAGAAAAAGAAAAAAAAGAAAATAGAAATAAATAAAACATTAAAAAATTAAAAAATAAAATTAAAATGGGTGAAGGATTTTAATAGACATTTTTCCAAAGAAGATATACAAATGGCCAATAAGCAAAGATACTCGGCACCAGTTAGTCATCAGGGAAATGCAAATCAAAACCACAATAAGATACTGTTTCACAGTCACTAGGATAGCTGTCGCCAAAAACACAAACAATGATAAGA